AATCAGCGTCTTTGGCACCTGCCTGAAATACCGAAATCACCCATAAGAATGTAAGAAAAACCTGGAAATCCACGTATTGCGTCAACTAAATGTTTGACTGACGTTAACATGAAAATGTACTTGAATAATTGCTCGCAGATGGCTTATAGGCACTGAATTATATTGCGTCTTTCTGCTAATGAAAATATATGTCTCTAATAAAAATATAAATGCGTCCTATTTTATGACCACTCGACCAATTTATACATGTTTTGTGTAATGCGAAAAAAAGGGCATCGCTTTCGTCTTATTTTAGAGTTTCTAATTTGCTAGAATAATAAAATATTTTTTTTATTCTAAGAGAATATAAGAATTCTTGGATTAAATCCCTTAATTTGTAAAACTTGTGGAGTTAACTTACAAAATATGCAATAACTTACTCGTTAATTTCAGATGGTAATAGAAAAATCGCTACTTATAAGAAAAATCAGTTCGCATGAACTTACAATAGCTCAACCACAGTTTTCTTAGCGATTTTGGAGAGAACTAATTCACCCCCGGTACGCCCACGCTCTCTCGTTTGAACGTTTCGCATTAACATTTTTATTCAGAATACGCAAGCCACTGCCAGGTAATTTATTATAATTTAATAATTTTCAACTGCGAGAGAGAGGAACCACGTCGGACAGAGCACTCATAAAATATTCAACGCTTTGCGCAGAATAATCGATAGTTTAATACACGTACAGGGGCGGTAGGGATGGGGGACAGGTAGGCGCCAATCGAGGTCGCGGCATTGAGGGGAGAGGCCCTGTCTAGTGCGTGGGGAGACTGGAGAGGTTTCGGAACATTCCGGGCAGGGGGGGCTGTGACATGGGTGGAAGTGCGATGGACGAATACTAAATTTCCTCGATTTCAGGTAGAAATCCGAATACTAAAAGATTGATGAAAATCTCTAATCTGAAATTTTTTACATCTAACAATTTTCCGCAATACGTTTACTTGTTAATATACGCAGCAAACTTTGGAAAGAAATGCGATTCGACGAATTGTAAGCGAACTGACAAATTTCCAGTTAGATTTCAGTGTAATTAAATCAAAATAATTCCTCTGTGTTTGTTAATATTCAATCAAGTTCAAGTTAACGTATGATGATATGTATGATAGGTTTTGACATGTAATCAAATAAAAAAATTTAAAATGGCAGAAAGGCTGCTACTGGGCAGGAAGGAAAAAAAATAGAAAAGTATAGTAATCAGATAATTCGAAAGGATTCGTTGGTAATTATATTAGGTGGTGATTTAATTGAAAATATATTCTCTAAGTCATAACGAGCGTGTGTAGTTTTTGAATAGTTTAACTTGTTGCTGAACTGGTAAAATATCATTCAACATGCGAGTGGTGTCATGCAGAGCCTCAAAATTCGTGAATCATGTCCTTTCTCTGAGCTTGTAGAGAGAGTCACAATTCAGCCGAGTTTTCTAAACTCTTGGATAATTCTTGTTCTCTTCTAATTTTTGAATTAGTTTGAATGAAGTCATTCTCTATTTTTATTCACGATATAATTTTGATCAAACTTAATCAAAGAAAAAACGAAAAAAACTTGTGTTAAATTTCATCATCATTATCACGACCGGCACATATTGCTCGGGTCATGAACTGATTTCACTGCAGTACCTCTGACCGGGTAGTTGGAGGGTTCGAGTACCGATGGTGTCAGGGTTTTCGACCCTATCTATATAGCTAGTTAGTTTTCCATGATTTCTCCTATCAACCCCAGGCAAAAGCAGCACCCGAACAAACAGGCTACGTGCCTCGCGCCGCGATCTTTCCTTCCTCTTCTTTGTCTTATGCTCACACTTTACTTACACACGCATTCACACTTCCATTTACTACACTACTAACCATTTCAGGAGGTCAGTTGGTAGGTTAGAGCTTTTCTCAGATTGGTGCCCCGCTGGTAGAGATACCTGGTTTGGAAAACCCCCGCAAGCTGACGAGTAGGTCGAAGCCGAATCTTTCCATCGAGCGGGGCCAACACCTTCACTTCCCGCGAGAAAACATTCACTACACTTTCGGGAATAGTGACCTGAGTCCCGAATGACTACGCAATAATCATCATCATCAGCGTTACTACCCAACCGAACCTCGTCCATACGACGTCCATGTTGAGACGTTCTCACAAAAATTAATGACGTCTCTCGTCTCACGTCTCTCACAAAAATTAATGACATACGAATAATGGCATTGCCATTATTCAGTGGTGTCAGTTCTCACAGGTCAATTGATTGATTAATTGATTAGTGATTCTGGGCGCGTCAACTGCAAAAGTCATTAGTTGCGTAAGTGTAGTGCATGCTTTTTCGCACGAGATGGTAACGATCTTCCCCCCAGTGGATGGCGAGATTCGGCACCGACCGTCGTCGGCTTGCGAGGATTTTCCCCAACCACGTATTCCCCCCCCCCCCCCGTGAAGCAACGCCCCAACCGGAAGAAACTATGATCCCTACAAGTTTGTGAGTGTAGTATGTTTAAAAGGTTGAGGATACGACGAGGAAGAGGTAGGTTAAATCGCGGACTGTGGCTCGTTAGTTACGGAAGAATTTCTGAAGTTGTTGTGGCCGCAATGCCTGCAAACTCTAGGAAGTTCCTTTCTCGCTGCATTGTGATGCTTCCGCTAAAGCATCATACAGCCATCGCAAGCTCGGTCTCGGAACGATTTGTTTTTTTCTTTCAATTTTTTGTTCTGAAGATATATACTAACCACTTCGGTTTTTTTGATTACATTAATCTGTCTTAATATTAATATTTTACTTGTATGTGACGAATGTAAGTTCTTAACCTTCTTGTTCCTCTTAAAACTACGACACACACTTACTCCCTCGGGTCACAGTGCCCCAGTGTATTGGGATATATTTGGGATATTTTTTATTACAAGAGATGTATTTGGTAAATAGACTGAACATCGATTAAACAAATATTGCTTAACTTATTTTAAATTCTTACACTTATATTCAAGCCATATACAAGCATGTGCTATAATTTCTAGTTTGAATAAGGAATATAAGCATTTCATTTTCGAAACTGGACAGATATACAAGTATAAAATATACATAATTACATGCCTCTCAGAAACACGCTTGCTGCAATATGAACACATTATTCATGTTTAGTTGTCACATGTGGAGGAACAATATTTTCATCTTTTACAAGCTTGTTGGGAACCACTCGGGCGTGATGTATGGGATTCTTGTGTTTGTATATTCCTTACTATAGCATTTGGGAACTTTTAGTGGGATATACTGCTTGAATGGACAGCGTTTTCTAAAGCCTGCATGCAATTCATCAACGGTTACACTAATTACAAGATGTTAAAACTTTGATACTGTTTCTTACATGCACGCAATAATTTCTAATAGATGCTAGATTATTTCTTCTCTTGAGGTCCGTCGATTGGATTTGTCTTCGAAACATAACACACGACTGATGCAATAGAAAGTTTTGAATGATATTATAGCAGAAAATATAAGCCTGCAGGTTTCAGGGTTTCACAGGGTTCAAATCTTTGTTGATTCAGCATGTTATCTATAAGTACCAGCCATTAATAGAATGTCAAAGAACGCTGTGAGAGTAATTGCATCTAACTTTTCCACGTTGTTCCCATACACTCTTGAACTCTCAACATTTTCCATTTTAACATAATATCAATGAAGTTATTATACAAAATTAGTTGAACATGTGATCTCTAGAGACATCATATATCTGTGGATCAGGTGTCAATTTGATTGTGTTCGCAGAGGATGTTCTACCATGTTATGGAAAGGGTTCTGCTCTCCAAGTATTTTTTTCGTCTTTTGACTGAACATTGTCTCTAGCAACGTCGCTTTCTGAAGTGTCGCACCCAAATTCCAAGATATTATGTGTGCTAACATCACTTATATGATTTTATTCTTCCGATATATCTTTCTCACTGTCAGATGACAATAACAACTAATCCGGATTCTACAGTCTCCAGAGAATACGGTAATGACAACGGAGCGTGATAAGTAATTGGGGATAGTCGGTTTTGTGTACTATATTTAGATCCTCTGGAAACGAACAGGCAGAGTCATACCATGCAGTGCATGCGGCAACTCTAACATAAGTTCAAACTTGTATTACTGTGTCGCACATTTGATCAGTACTCGCAGAAACACGACGTTTCAAGTACATTCTCCAACACCAAAACGTACTCTCCTACAGAAAGTTTGCGAAATAAAATGAGAAAACTGGGTACCCCAAACAACGGATCACAGTGACCTGAGAAACACAAGTGTAACATTTGTGTTTTCAGAACAAAAAAGCACGATATTTTTAAATATTTCCATATCTTACGAAGAGTAGATTTCTGACAAAGGCAAAGTCACGACGTGCCAAGCCCTAACATTTAGATATAAAGAAATTATTTTGAGTTAAATTTTGTGAAGGATCGTACTGACCTAAGAACAGGAAGGCTAAGTTGTTGTTTCAGTTCTGTTAATCCGTGGTTCCGCAGCAATGGTCATCGGATTTCGAAGACACCTGACCGTTAACAGATTCTGTATTATTTTTGTTACCACGCCGCGGCTTCCTTTAGGGCTAAATGACTTGGATTTTGCTCTCAAGAAAGACGCAGTGTAATTATAAAACTTTGAAAAACCTGTTTTGAACGTTGCGTTTTGATATCCAACTATTTATTAAATTGATTGTCAAAGTCATTAACATGACTAAAAATAAACCATTGTACTTGTCTGGGAGATTTGATACTGGTCACAACATGGTGTAAATGTTTGTAGCTAGTGTGTTTTTCTCTCGCGCTGTGCACCATTAGCCCTCGGCGACAAGGGAAACAAAACCGAGAGCAGACGCAAGGATAATGACAGCTGAGTGCCGGAGGTGGGGGCGGGCGGTGCGTCGGTGAATTGGTCCGCTTCCACTGAGGTCGAGGGTAGTGGAGACAGCAGTCGAGATGGAAAGAAGGTTGACGGTGGCGGAGAAGGCAGATGAGGTGGGATGCCAGACATAGATGCGATTGTGGAGAAACCGGAGGAAGTGGGGATGGTGGAAGCGGCAGTGGAAGTGGGGTAGGTGGCGGTGCTGTCGGTGAAGGAGAGAAAGATGGTGGAGGTGGAGATGTCTGGAGCGTTCGAGATGTGAGCAGGTATTACGCATTGTGGTCCTGGTTAAGAAAACAGTGTCCAACCGGAATAAATTCGTTGAAGATAATATTGTGGGAAAATTAAAAGAATATTACAAATTAAAAGATACGGATGCTAGACTACCTTCAGCTCTCTTTGTTCAATAGATTACATTAATTGAATATATACAAATAGGTGTTTCTAAATACAGAAAGCAGCTTGAGATGTGCCAAATAAAAAATCGTTGGTATTAAACGTCTTTTGAAATTGTTGATATGAAACACTTGAAAAGTTAATACGCTTGAAATTACACTTGAAATACACTTGAATACTCTTGAGAAAGCATGGTTGCAGCGTTGATTTTATGATCTACTTGCAATACAGTAGAATATTTTTTTTTCTCTTTGCGACCAGATTTTATGTCATGATTCGTGAATTATGGGGTTAACAATTTCCATTAATTGATTGTTTTAGAGATTCTGGGCACGTCAACTATACAGAGTCATTAGTCCCATAAGTGTAATGTATGTTTTTGCTCGGGATGAGACGGTGCTCTTTCCCGCGCTGAATGGCGAGATCTGGCGCCAACCTTACGTTGGCTAGCGGGGTTTTCCCCAACCACGTATCTCCCACCAGCGGGGCACTACCCCAGCCGGGACAAGCTCTAATCTACCGATCGGTCTCCCGGCACGTGTGCTTGTGTAGTGCGTGTTAGCGTGAGGGGAGAGGATAGGGCAAGGAAGAGATAATAAATATCGCGCGGGGTACGTGGCCCGTTTGTTAGGGTACTGCTCCGGCATTCGCCTGCTGTTGATCGGAGTAATCACGGAAAACTACCGATCAGAGCTGCCAGCCGATAGAATTCTTCTCCAGACAGCGACTGAATTCGACCTAGCAGACAAACTAGTGTCGAAAATCCCGCCACCGTCGGAACCGAGGACCACCCGGTCAGAGGGACTGCAGTGTCATCGTTGATACCTTGAACCATCTCTCACGGTCAAACAATCCCGACAATTCCATGAAGGGATTAGAGTTACTACTGTTGCCCATCTTCCTCTCCCCCCAGACCACAGTTCGATGCCAGACGCGGAGGGGACGACGGCGGAAGATGGCAGGGACGGCGGGGGCAGAGAGGGCGGCGGGGGCGTGTGCTTGGGCGGAAGGGCGATCGTTTGTGGGCGTCGACTGCGAAGCGGAGGCCCCGGCGTGGAGCCGCGAGAAGAGAAGAATGCAAGATTACTTTTCCGATATGTTAATTAGCGCGGGAGGGGCATTTAGCAGCGGGAAAACGACGAAACGCGGAGCGTGGCCCTGAACTCTGGAGGTGTTTACTAGTACATCCCGCCCCGCCTGCCGCCCCCTGTTGACGAGCAGTCGGTTGAGGGCTGTTGAGGAAGAGCTGTTGGAGGAGGATGTGATGCAGTGTGCCGCCTCCACTCCAATGCCACACTACACTGCCCCTCTCCGCTCCCCCAGACCATGTTCCCCTTTGTCTCCGACACCTCTCCGCGCCACCTTGTCCCTTCCGGTTCCGCCCCCACCCCGTAATACCTCTTCGAACCCTTCCGCCCCCACGCCACCCTTCGAGGCCCTCCCCTGTCCTCTAGCGCCGTCCCT